CATCGTGACCGATTAGATTGAAATTCTGCTAAATTAATCATCCATTGATTAATGACATATTGAATGCCCAAGGTTTTGTCCTTTTGATTCATTTTAAACCCTATTCTTTTACTTTTAGATTAGCTTCTATCTTATTTTCTCCGCTTGGTTTTTAGAAAGGTCACGACCGTACGTGATTGGTGTCATCTTGGATTTATGCACTTTGGTTTTGTCGATTTCATTTTACTGAACAAGGTCGTAACCCATCTCTATAAAGAGCAACTCTATCGGACCATGTATTGATAAATTATCAAAATAGTTATAATTAAAATATTTTTTATATGAAGTTGTTTTAAATAAAATAATTAATAGTAAAACAAAACTATATAATGACATTGTATTTTCTTTGTATAGACTTATTTGAAATCAAACATTCAACAATCAGTGAATAAAATGAATTAAAACAAAACTCTATTAAGCATCTTGGAATGTCCCTTGAAAAGCATTGCATTATACAGAGTAAATTACAGAGCCCTATTCTGAGTTCTTCGTTCTGAGCTAATACGTATTGTTACTAAACTGCCAAGAAACTTAAGATCAATCTTTGTTTTTTTTTTCTGATTGTTTCACGAACTTATTTTCTTCTGAGCTTTTACTTTCTAACAATTTTTGTGAATTAACAAGAAAGATTGTAGTCACATATAGATGAATGCCGTGATGAATCAGGCAATTTCATGCTGTCAGTCGGAAGAATATCTGAATCATTAGAATAAGTTTCGTTGAAATTATTTCTTTAATAAAACAAAATCTAACACTTCTACGTTTTTGGAACACAGTTTTACGCAATAGCTAACTTTGAGAGACACATTTTACCTCAAATCTTTCAAGAAATCAGTTTAGATTAGTATAATGGTAAGCGACTATACCAAAACAGATGGACTAGTTCTCATGGCCCTGTACGGTGGTCTACGATGTTCATATTTTTTATGTGACATTTGCAATGAAACCCGAGAGCAAGTTTTAATTGCACTAGTTTTTCCTCCCACTGTCTTAAATACAAACAACTACGATGATATATGGATACAGGAATTGCTCACTTATTTCTATATGAACGCATATGGAATTAATCGATCCTATTCGTCAGCAAAATAAGAATTCGAACACTCATCTTCCCTAAAGTTATATCACTTAAGTGCTTCTAATATATCTAGGAATACTTTCAAAAACACTATTGTTCCTATTTGAAACTAGATTTCATACCCGTTATTATCAACAATGATCGATCTGGGAAAATTCAACTGATATAAGCTAGAACCAGCAGTACCATTGCCAGCAACAATAGTTCCATTTAATGACCCAGGAAGATATTTTAGAACACGATGATTTCCACTGTCGGCTACATATAATGAATTATTTGCATCCATAAAATTGCCAAATGGACTAAACAATTGATCAAGTCCTGATCCCGATGGCCCTCCACCTGCTAAAACTATACCAATGGATGAGTAAGGAATATATTTAACGACTTGATTATTATCAGAATCTGTTACATAGATATTATTATTGACATCAATGTGTAAATCACGCATTTGACCAAGAGGACTATATGAAGTGTTAGAAGCTAATGTAATTCCTATTGTAGAATTCGGCAGAAATTTCTGAATGCGATAATTGTTACTGTCAGCTACAATAATATTACCATATTGATCGACAGCAACACCTTTGGGTCCACTCAACTGGTTTGTTTCATTCCCAACAGTTCCATTGCCCGCGACCATGACTCCAGTGGTTGAATTAGAATATAATTTCAGAATTCGAGAGTTATCCCGATCACAAACATACAAAACATCATCATTATCAATAAAAATACTAACTGGACCGCTGAGCGAACTTAAATCATAACCTATAGATCCATTTTGATTACCACTAGTAGTAGTTCCATTCTCTTGCCATGTAGCACATGTTGGAATATTCAATGCATAAATACCAACAGCACTGACTAGAATTAGACAAGCATTCAATTGTAGTGATATATGATGAGAGAAAAAGAAACTAGATACAGGTGATTGTAGTCTGAGTAGTTGTTGTTGTGACAGAAGTAGTAGTAGTCGCAGTTGTAGTCGTGGCTGTAGTAGCTGTCGTCGTTGTCGCTGATGTTGCTAGGTAAAAATATAATGAAAACATTGAGACAAGACCTCATTCTATTTTTTTTTGATAGTACAATAGTTAAAAAATAATCTTGCGCTATTTGGAGTTTCTTTCGTTATGCAAAAATGTATTTTGCTTTGACTAGACTCGATAAAGGATAGATACTGAAACAGTGTTCTCTATGAGATGTACATAATATGATTGATCAAGCATCTTACAGATCAGAACTTCAAATAAACTGGGATTAATTCAAATTAACTTTGCCAAGGACATGGGCTAAGAATTTGTGAAAGAATAATCGTGAGTTGGCCTAGGCTTTGACAATGATAACCGTGACTATAGTCATATTTCACTTATAAGAACTCTTCAAGTGAAACTGACAGAAATATTCAATTGAAAATGTGATATTCGTTTCACTAAATTAATGGTCCTCTTGTTTGTATATGCCAAAACTGGGTCTTGTTCGATCAAATAGCATGTGATTATAAAACGAAAGGAATAACGCCGTGGCAAATCTCAAATGATTACCAGTTTTCACGAAATATTTGATCAGCGATGCCTATTCTTTGATGAAAGATATGAATGTGGCTAGCGATCGGTGTCAATGCTCTTCTCATACTCAAACATAGTATCAACACTCATGCGGACACTCACTTGTTTCATGATGGAGATATTATATCATCTATGTAAGATAAGCTAAAAGGCAGAAATGTGTTATATCTTACTTTATTCAATTAGTGATTTACTGTTTATGAAGACTGAAATATAATTCGTGCTCATTTGTCTTTATAATATTAGCATTAGCAAAAAACATATTCTACGATAATTGTGAAAAATGAATAACTTTTCTTACTAGTTGTTGTAGAAGTCGTCGTCGTTTGTGCATCTCTTACAGCAACATAACAAACAAGTGCAATAGCTACAACTGCACTACATAACATAAATGCTGCCATAGTACCTAGAAGTATTTTAGCAATCAAAATCCGATTTGAAGAAGGTCTTGATGCAGTGCGTCTGATAAATACGAAAGAAACATTCAATTGTTGAAAGATGAAAATTACTTACCGCACTGATCGAATTGATCTGACATGATTTAAATTAGCATAATGTGGTTGATATGCGGCCATTATAAGGAAGGAATCTCTTAGGCTCAAAACTCAAAGTTTCAGAAGACTGCTGGTGTTTTTTTTTTTTACAAAAATGATTAAGATCAATTTTAAAGAATTCACCAACAAGCAACTGATGTTTTTTGTGTAAACTGAAAGTAAGGTGCTAATAACACTTTATCGTCTGCAAAAGTAAATTGCTTGTTGTTGGTTTTTGTCGCCTGTAGTCTTTTACAAAATGAATTTTTTTAAATTGATTTATAAGAGCATACATGTTTGAATGCTCACAGCAAAAACATAAAGCGAGGAATGCATAATGAATATGCTGTTCGATGATGAAAGTATCGAGAAAAAACATATAGAACGACTATTTTATCATAAACAAAAACATCGATCAAAGTCACTTAGCATTTTTCAACAAGAAAGAGCACCGTCGCTTGCAATTCTTTCTTTTCAAGAAATATAATTGTTGAAGTGGAAATGATTTGGAAGAACAGCAAACAAGAGAATGAGAATAATGAATGAATGTTGTTTTGAAAATATGACCAACGAATGAATGAAAGTAAACAAACTCATGAAGATAACTTCTTTCGCTGCTTCCTTTCGATTTCAATGTTTTTTTTTTACCTAAAGTTACTGCATAGTATTCTAACAAAAATCCTAAAAGAATTAGGGTTCCAATCACTATATGACTTAGTTATCAAATCTTTATTATGTCTATGTCTCAGAAGTCTCTGTAACATATCGAAATTTTAAAAGATTTATATCTTCGAATTGTGATCTGGAATTTTGTACATATAAAGAACTCAACTATACAATAAAAAAAAGTCACAATAACAATGTATTTGATGATTATCGAAAAAGTCAACGTACAATTGTGAAAGCTCAGTCATTATGGCACAAGATAGAATTTTTCATGAATTGGTAATTAAATCAGACCGATAAATCAAATCTCATTACTGATTGCGAATCGTGAATTAATTAAAGATATATTCCAAGTGTATAAAATTAAGAATCAACTATAATTTCTATATATTTTTTAAATACAATCATTGGGATTTGAAGCCAATAGAAAAATTTAGCATCGACAATATTAGACAACGATCGAACTGTTTTTTTGCATTCATATTCATTTACATCAAAAGATATTTTTGATTAATATAAATAATTTCAGATATATTATAATTCAAAACATTAGTGTATATATATATATAAATGTTTTTCCTCGCTTTTCGATTATATTCTCATTTAATTATGTGAAATTGCGTACAACATCATCCATTTTTTTTAATTTTTATTAGATGCTTCATTCATATAGAATAAAACTATACACTATCATAAATTATGTAGCGATGTGTTACGATTAATCACGACTTATTTAGCAGTTTCGAGAATACAGAAGAGTAGAGAAAATATTATACAAATTTTTCTTAGGCAGTTTTTACGATACGAAAAAAATCTTATTCTACACATCTTCAAACGACACTTTGTAATAGAAAAAAAAATGTGCAAATAAAAATAAAAGAAGTTGGAAAAAACCAAGTGTTGCCATTTGTCAATACATCTTAGTCGTCAATGACTTAATTTATACGTTTTAAAAGTAAATGCATTCAATGAAAATTAAACGAACTTTTCGTAAAGTATAACAATGTAATTTTGTAATCGTCAACGTATTTACTCAATTTTTACAATTGAAATAGCAATCATTAGTCGTCGTTGTTCTTTTCTAGTTTATTTGTTCATTATTTATTATACTAGCTTTCAAATATGAAGCGTTTGATAATAAAAGAAGAAATAGATGAATCAAAAAATGTTTTTACGTTTAATACAGATGAAGATTTAACAATAACATGGTTCGATGATAAAATTGATGACGAGATAAAAACTATGTTAGAACAATCACATGATCATGTACAAATTTGTCATTCATTTGATGAAATAATTTTAACTATAGATAATATTAGAAATGAAAAAATTATTTTAATTGTTGCCGGTCGATATTCTCGTGAAACATTATTTCGAATTCATGATAACGATAATATTGATACAATTTATATATTTTGTTTAAATATGTTCTTATATCAAGATCTAATTGATGAAAAAAAATATTCTAAACTCGTTGCTATTTATATAGAATATACAACTTTATTTAATATTTTAATACAACAAATTCATTTAATATTAAAACATTTATCAATATTCAATTTATTTAATCATACTGATAAACCAATACTAGATTTAGAATATGAATCTAGTAACTATTTATGGTATCAATTATTTCGTGATATATTAATGACAATGCAAACAGAAAATGAACAATGTAAACAACAATTAATTGATTATTGTCGATCATATTAACGATTAAATAAAAAAAAATTGGAAGAAATTAATATATTTGAACAAACATATGTATCATCTGATGCTATACGTTGGTATACAAAAGATTCTTTTTTATATTGTTTTGTTAATAAAGTTTTAAGAACTGAAGATATTGAAGCATTATTTCGTTTAAGATATTCTATTAAAGATATTTGTAAAAATTTAATATTATTATTTGATAAAAATTTTGAAATATATCAAGATTCACTTGAAGTAATAATAGTTTATCGTGGTTTAACATTACCAATTAACATTATTGATCAATTGAAACAATCTGTTGGTAAATATGTTTCAACAAATGGATTTTTATCTACTACTTTTAAACGAGATGTTGCAGAAATGTTTGGTGCAAATGTTATTTTCGAAATAAAAATTGAAACTGATTTAAAAAATATTATTTATGGTTACATAGCAAATATGAGTTATAATCCTTCAGAAGATGAAGTTTTATTTGATCTTGATGCTATATTTCAAATAATAGATATTCAATATAAAGATAATAAATATATTATATCAATGATTGGTATTAATAATAATATTGAATATTTAAAAAGTGACTATTTTCAAATAGAAAGAGAATATTTACAAGATAATTTAATTGATAATATTCTTTCAAATATAAATGCATATTCATTTTTTTGGTAAATTTTTATTAACAATCGGTTCAAATAAAAAAGCAATTGAGTATTTTGAAGAATTATATAAAAATAATCTTTCTAATAATAATGATAATGTATTAAAGGAATATGAAACATATATACTTACTGGAAATTTAGCTGATGCTTATGCTCAAAATGATCAATATGATTTAGGATTAAAATATGCACTTATTTCTTATCAAATACATAAAAATTTTCATAATAATTATTCAGTATCAATAGTAGTTAGTTTATTAAGAATAAGTTTAATTTATTTAATTAATGAAGAAATTCAATTAGCTTTTGATTATATTCAACAAGCATTTCAAAGTCTACCAATGAATGTTAATTCTCAATTACTTGCTCCAATGTATTTATGTCTTAGTAGATGTTATTTAAAACAAGAAACTTATTCTGAAGCTTCAAAATATTGTCAAAAATCATTAGAAAAATTTAACTGAAACAAAAAATAGTATTGCACTTAGTGAAACACATTATACCCTTGCTGAAATTTATCAAAAACAATGCAATTATAATATGACTATTGAACATTATGAAAAATCTTTATTATTTCAAAAGAATATTTATTCAAATTATCATCCATTACGTATACGAACATATTTTAAGCTTGCTGAAATCTACAACATAATTGAAAAATATGATTTATCAATTGATTATTACTTAGAAATATTAAATAATAAACCATTTAATGATGAAAATGAACAAATTGATATGTTACATAATCAGCTGATATGTTGTTATCTTAAATTAAAACAATATGATTTAGCTATTAAACATGCTAATCTTTCATTAAGAATTAGTGAAAAATCATTAGATATAGAAAGAATCGAATTATCATATATGTTAATGAATGATATTTTCGAAAAACAACAAAAATATGATTTAACTCTTGAATGTTATGAAAAATTAGTTAAAAAGTCAATTGAATATAATAATTATGAAATCATGAAAAAAGCACGTTCAAAATATATATCAATTATGACATATTTGATTATTGAAGAATATGAGAGAAACTTCGAAAACAATATGAAAATTTTGTCTGAATTTTATGATAAATACTTATTTAATGAGAATTTTTTTATCTTTAATGATTTTCAACAAATAATTTTGTCGATATCATTAATTTATCTAAAATTGAAAAAGTTTTCTTTAGGTATTGAATATTTGCAAATAATATTAACAAATATTGAAAAACTATCAAATAATCATGATAAATATCGAATTATATTTTATTTAAATTCACGAATAGCATGGTTTTATGAAAAAGATGAAAAATATAATTTAGCTATTAGTCAATATAAAATAATTTTATCAAAAATAGAAAATCTTGATAATCACGATTTAACAGTTTGTATTATTGATGAAGCACTACAATGTTATGAATCTATTGGTCAATTATATTATCAATTAAATGAATACAATTTAGCGATCGAAAATCAATTAGAAGGATTAGAATTAATTAAAACAACAAATGATAATAAATATCAACAAGAAATATATGATTTTAATTATAGAATTACAAATTGTTATGTCGAATTAGAAAATTTTGATTTAGCTCTTATTCATTATAGAAAATGTGTAGAAATTGAAGAAAAAACATCTATTAGTGTCGAAGAATCTGATGAGAGTCTTTATATGTATGAATGTTTTGGTAACTTCGATTATGAAAATAAACAATATGATTCGGCTATTGATTCTTATAAAAAAGCTTTAAATATATTACAAACAAATGATGATCCCGAATCATCAATATCTATTGTTAAATTCAATTATAAAATTGGTTGCTGTTATAATATGCAACAAAATATGGTTTTATTTATTGAACATTTTAAAATAGCTTTAGAAATTCAAGAAACTAATCAATTTAATTATGATAATGTACAAACCATGGATATGAATTTTCAATTAGGATGGTATTATCAACAAAATCAAAAATATGATTTAGCTATTGAATATTTTCAAAAAATGTTGAATATTCAAGAAATTTTAAATATTGATGATAAATCTTATTTTGCTGATTTATATATTCGTATTGGTAAATGTTATGAACAAAAATCAATGTCTGATTTATCTCTTAAATTTTATGAAAAAGCTTTAGAATTATATAGGACAATTATTGAACTCAATAGTTTAGAAGAGAAAAAAATTACTGATATACATTGGAGAATCGGTAAAATCTATCGAAATCAACAAGATTGGAATTTATCTATAGAATATTATCAAAACAGTTTAAAATATCTAAATATTTTGAATACAAAATTAGTCTTTGATCTATATTCTGAAGTAGGATTCTGTTATCAACAAATATCTAATAGTGAAATCATGACTATTAATTATTATAAAAAAGCAATTGATATTAATCCATATAATAATTCAAAAATAATTGAATTCTATTATCAAATTGGTATTTGTTATCAAAAAATAAACGATGTCACTAGTGCTATTCAATATTTTAAAATCGCACTAGAACAATTAAATGAACAAGCAGACAAAGATTTTGTTCAACTAGTTGATATACATGCTCAGATTGGTTTTTGTTTTTGTGATATAGAAGATTGGAATTCATCTATGGATCATTGCTTATTGGCATTTGAAATATATCGAAATATAAAGATGTATAATACTGCTCTTATTTATCGTTTATGTATAACTATTGCTCATTGTTTTGGTCAAAATGATATGTATAATTTAGCTATTGAATATTTTGAACAAGCGCTAAAAATTCAAGAAGATGAAAATAATCATAATAGTGACAAAAAATTTGAAATTATTCATTTAAATAATCAATTGGGATATTGTTATTTTATGTCTAATCAATATGATATAGCTTATCATTATTATGACAAATCTATTGAAACAGCTAAAAATTCATCATGTTATACCCGACATTTTTCTATAATTGATAATTATGAAATGTTTGGATATATTTATGCATATTATCATAATAAAATTCTTGCTAGTAATTGTTTCAACAAAGCAATAAAATTATTAGAATCAACAGAACCAACTGACATAGTAAAACTAAGACGTATCCGAAATTCATTAACAAAACTACAATACAACAACAATATTGTTATGATTGATATGATCAGATTATTAATTATTCAAATATAAAATTGATCAAAATATCAATTATATTAATAAAGACATTGTCTTCTTTTTTATTTTCCCAAAAAGAAAAAGTTAGATTTGATTGTTGAATAGAGAAAAATCAAAATCCGGTCACACTGCATTTTGCCTTAAAAATCGCTTTTCTGATAGAAAGAAAATAGGTAATTTATTGCTCGAATTGTCTATAATAAACCGCTGCATACAAGTTCGACTGTCAGTTCTTTCTATTGAATCCTCGATAGGAAGAAGATGGAGAGCTGTGACTTTCATCGTCGGAAAGAGAAGTCTTCAGAGTATTGCAGCATATCAAAATCTGATTGGTCAATAATTGACCGATCAGAGGAGTACTTCATGGATACTTCCCATTCAATAGGACAAATTCTTCTATGTCGTCTACATAAGACCGACATTCCTAGCTTGTTCCATGCAAGAGTTAGAAGACTTTGTCTAAGACTCGTGATTTGAGTCAATGGGCTTAGGGAAAACTAGCTGACCATGTTGAATCGAATAGTGATATGTGTTTTTAGGTTCAAACAGATCTGACGCTATTATCTCAATATTCCTGCAATGTCGATTCCATCGTTACAGCGGTAGATTCCTTTTTCTAAGTCAATTGACTGAAATCAGGTATCTTAGGACGTCTTATAACTCTTGAACGAAACAAGCTAGGAATGTCAGTCTTATATAGATCAAAAGGGAAGCATTTTTTTTTCTATCGAATAGTCGTCATAAAAATAAAAATAAAATCAGAAATGCTTTTAGAATGCCATTTTCAAAATATCTACGAAGTACTCATTTGATTGACTGACTGTTGACTAGGGAACTGCAAAATCACTTTTTTTAGTCCCGGTCCCGGTCTCGGTCTTTGACAATGGCTTCATTTCTAAAATCGAGCAACCTTTTTTTACGATCTGTTTACTTTTATGAATACATAAAATTGACATGAATGATTTTGATTCGTTAACAGTACGAAAATTCTTTTGTATCCAGTGTTAAAGTGAAAGAATTTCACTAAAAGCTCGAATAAATAAAAATAACCATTGAATTTTGTTAAAAATTCTTATGTACTTCGTAGCAGTCATTTACTTATTTCTCTCTTCTTTTATATCTACTGCTCTACCTAATGGATTTATTATCGAATTGATTATTTATACTGAGTAGCTATTACGATTGTCAAAAGAAAAATAAATGGCGACACATATCTATTTACTATTATCTGATAAGACTTAAATAAAAGAATCATCAAACAATGAACGAATTAAATTTACGTATATAGTGTTGTGTTGGTTGTTTTATATGTATTCAAAAACCTGTGCAATTGGAAAACTCAGATTCTTGCAAACAGACTCGTAATCAGTAAAGACTTTTATACACATAGCAAATAAAAATATCTGATTTACAGATCTTTAATATTGTCAAAATAATAGTCGTGAAAATATATTGCATAAAAACTGACCGGGACCAGTGTGCAAAAATTTTTAGCCCCGATCTCGGTCCCGGGACCACTTTGCAGTTCCCCACTATTGACTAATCAGATTTTGATACAGCGCGATACTTTCAAGAGTCCTCTTTCCAATGGTGAAATTTGCAACTCACTATCTTTTTCCTATCGAAAGTTCTTTAGATAACTATAGATTTTACTAGAGAAAAGTTTTTACAATCCAGTTTGAGTACACTAGATAAAGCTGCTAAACACATTGATTCTATTGACTACGAATTCTAATGGATGATGAGAAAGTTTCTAGATAATATACTAGTTCAGTTTTGATTCATTTATATGGATTTCATATGAATTTTAAACTATAGACTATGTAGAACTAGGGTATTGTGTTCTTTCTCACTATGTGTTTACAAAATGTACTGTGTGTTTTTGTTACGAAATAGTAAGAAAATCCTTGCAAAGCCTGAAATTTACTTTGTACAATGTCTTTTTCCAAACTGCTATAAGCCTCTTTATAAGAGTGTTAAACATGGTCGCATTTGACCGTTTTGTAGGAAGGATTTTTCTTTTAAAAAATAGTATTTGTAAAAAAAACAATTTTTTCTGTTCAATAATAAGTATGTACGAAACACAAAGGAAAATTGAGATGTTTTCATAAAAGACAAGGAAAAAATACCTTGAATAGTATTCTTTTTTATATAGTAGGTTTTGGCAAAAAATTTCGTCCAAACAAATTTGAATTTTTTTCTTTCTACTTTCAAACAAAACTTCAGAAATAATATCAGAGATAATATTTTCAAGTGAATCAGAAATAAACAAAGATTTTTTTGAGAACTTTGCTATTACTGGTAAGTCAGGCTACAAACACATTATTCTAAATATAAATAATAAGGAATTTCACTATCCGATAATATTCTCAAATCAAGGTTGAAATTAACCATGACTACTTACTGCAGTTATATTTTTAGGGACAATCTTGTTTTATCGATGAGACTTAACGAAAAACGAAAAATAATACAAATTCTATTTGTATAACTATGATGACAAATACATCACATAATCAGCATTGTATTGACAGATGAAGTTATGACTAAATAATCATATCCCTAATATGTGTAGCATTTTCCTCATATGAAAATACGACTGATAAGGTATTTTATAGATATTGTGAAATACAGCAATTTTGTTAATATTAAATTTTTGATATCAATACAAGTGTTTAAGCATAGGTCAAGGTATTTCAGTTCAAGTTCGTTGTACTTTAACTCTGAATGACGGTTGAATATTATCATATAACTATCTATATACGTAAAAAGAAATAAATCGAATGTAATTAACTATGTTTGATCTAAGCTAATTTTTGATTCTCATCTCCTTTGACAATTCTAGAATAGCCAGGTTCGTTTTTGATAAATGTGTTCCATTGACAAAATTATACTATTTCATATGTTGACTAGATAATGGTAAAAGTCGAAATTTCATCGAATGTTGTTTGTCATACTTATGATAGAAAGAAGTTTACACTGATAAGATTTTTATCATTGTTACAGGTATGAAAAAAAGAAAGAAAAAATCCAAAAAAAAAAGATAACATTTGCTGTTTTCTCTTATGAGTTGACATGAAACAAGTTACGTATCAACCGAACTTTAATTTAGAATGACTTTGAACCTTGTTTCATTCATATAAAATGGACATTCAATAATACAAAATTCTTCAATGAAAAGTTTAGAAAGTAAGGTGGCAATATCTTAGACTAAGAAGATTTGACTACACAAGCATTTGTTTCAAGCATTATTACTTATTTTGATTGTTGTCTTTTTTTCATTTGCTTTGAGATAATCTATTCATTGCGTAGTAATTCAAATTATTCGTTATTCAATATGACTACTGAGAAAGGAACACGAAATCTTCAACAACGTATTTCACGCATCACAGATATGACTGAAGGATTTTACAACACATTCTCAACTATAAATGACTACCAAGAAATGCCACTTGTCCCACTCGATATTGCTATAGAACCATTAATATTTTTATTACCTAATATTGAGAATTGTGCAGTACATGCTATAGAACAATGCAAAAATCCACCTGCAGATGGACTTACAAAAGATATGTCTGGTGCAATCCGACTCTATTCGATGGAAGAACAGTACCAAGGTGAACCTCTATATGCTATATTGAACCGTATTCTACGGACAGAAGATAGACAACAACTTAAGCCATGGCTATTCTATCTTAAACTATTACATACTGCACTTTCACGACTTCCATCCATTCGTCAAGTTGCCTATAGAGGAGTCAAATTAGACTTAAGTAACGACTATAGCACTGCGAAAAAAGTGACATGGTCAAGCTTTTCATCGTGCACTGGCTCAACTACTGTTTTACAGTCAGAACAGTTTTGTGGCATGACGGGTCCAAGAACAATATTTACTATCGATTGTTGTTCAGGCAGAAACATTCGTAATCATAGTCATTATCCATTCGAAGAAGAAATACTTCTTCTTCCTGGAACTGAATTGGAAGTTACTGGTTTCCTGAAACTAGCTGACAATATTCACATGATTCAACTAAAAGAAATTGAAGCAGCTCGTCTTTCATCGTCACTACTACCTCCTCGTGATTTCATCAAGTCAAACTGGGGTAAGAAAAAGTGCATAAAACTTTTTCAATATCTATACGTCGAATTAGTTATTCTAGAAAAGTTCATTTCATTAGTGAAGATGTAAATTAACAAAATGTTAAAATATTTTGTCGTAAAGTAGTATGTGATTTTTTTTTCAAATTCGAATTGTGTCCAATATTGACTTTTGTAAGAGATGCTTAGAGTTTAAATATCAAAGATACAATACAATACAATATCAAATGTTATACAGGGTGTAAAAAAACCATTACGCCCC